GTCTTTTCTCTGGTCCATCCTGAGTGTCTAGAACAGTATCTGGTGCAGAACAGTATCTGGTTTCTAAACATCCTGGTTTATATGACCCTAGATGCCCAGTGCACAAAATTTGTGCACGTGGGGGCAGGGGTCCCTCAGCCTAGTCTGTGCCCTCTCACAGTCCGGGACCCCTTGCTCCTTACCATCGCCCGCAGCAGAGGCGGCGGGAGAGACTCCCGCCACCACTGCTGCGCTCACCACCCATGAGCCGGGCTTCTGGCTGAGCTGTGCTCCCCCTGTGGGAGCCCACTGACCACCAGGGGGCAGCTCCTGTGTTGAGCATCTGTCCCCTGGTTATCAGTTCGCATCATAGTGACCTGCCGTTCAGTCGATTTGCATATTAGGGTTTTATTATATAGGATAAGGAAGTAGTTCTCATTCATTCATTCATTCATTCATTCATTTATTCATTTGCTTATTCATATATTCATTCAGTAGTATTTATTGAGTACTAATGGTATACACACCACTGTGTTGAGAGCTATCATAGAATAGTTAACAGTACAGACACAATCCCGGCCCCCACAGAGCTAACAGTCAAATGGCAGGAGACAGGTCACACACAAGTAAATCTACAAGTAAATTGATACTAAGTTGAACCTCATGAAATTGCCAATATTCAATCAACTTTGACCTTAAAAATGGCAATATTTCAACATAATTGTTCTGTGGTAGTTTCTCCCACAAGGTACCTGTATTAGCCAGGGTTCTCCAGAGAAACAGAACCTACAGTAGTTACACATAAAGAGATTTCTTATATGGAACTGCCATTGACAAGTCCAAAATCTGAAGAGCCAAGGTCCCCAACGGTTTGAGTCTGAAGGCCAGCAGGCTGCTGTAGTCCCAGGAGGAGCCTACATCTCAATTTGAAGGTCATGAGATGGGAACATTCTCTCTTACTCTGTAGGGCCAGCCTTTTGTTCTATTCATGCCTTCAACTGATTGGGTAAGGCCGACCTACATTATGGAGGGCAATCTGCTTGACTCACTCTACCAATTTAAATGTTAATCTCATTCAAAGGCACACTCTCAGACACATCCAGAATAAAGTTTGACCAAATATTTGGGCACCCCATGGCCCAGTTATGTTGACCCATAAAATTTACCACTACAGTACCTGTAGGATCTTGCTATTCAGAGAGTGGCCTGTGGACCGGTAGCATCTCCATTACCTGGGAGCCTGAGCAGAATCTCAGATCCTGCCTTGGACTTATTGAAACATAATCTGCATTTGAAAAGTTCCCTAGGTAATACTAATGCACATTTAAGTTTGAAAAGCACCCAGACTCGATGCCACAAATAATTGCCAAATGTTTGGGCATTCGGCTTGCAGCACATGGTTGGTTCCTGCCATTGTCTAATTCATTAAATTTTTTGACACATCCCTATTTATAAAATGCATTTTAAAGCATGCATCCCAATATATGACACATTTGTTTTATCTATACACCTACCAGTGAACAATTATTAGGTACATTATAAAGCATACAAAGGACAGAGACTTTAAAATGAGTTGAAGGTGAAATAAATAATTTTAAATTTGTCACTAATCATGATGACTTCCTGCAGTCTTTAGCTACGATCTCAAAGCATGATACACATGGAGGATGAAGTTCATCACTAATAAATAAATCCATATTTTGATTATTTCTCATGAGAGTTTTAATTATTTTGGGCTGACTTCATTTTGATCTGAACAGACCATCATTATTTTAACCCTGTGAGAAGCTGTTGACAAGCGGGGAAGATTCAACTCTATTATTTTCTTGTACGTTGCTTTATCAGTATTTTTTTCAGGCTTCGGTTTTGTTGAGAGGGATATTTTAAAGCAACATGTCTCTTTAGTGATGGTTAGCTTAGTTAAAACTATATAATTTGGCCCAGCTGGTGTGGCTCTGTGGTTGAGCATCAATGTCAATCCGTGAACCAGGAGGGCATATGCCTGGGTTTTGGGCTCGATCCCTACTAGGGGGCATGCAGGAGGCAGCCGGTCAATGATTCTCTCTTATCATTGATGTTTCTACCCATCCTCTTTCTGAAATCAATAAAAAAACATAAAAAACATTAAAAAACTAGATAATTTATTTGCACATCCCCTTTAGAGGTGCACAAACTGCAATGCAGGCGTTTGCCTCATTTGGTCCAAGATTCCTGATTCTCACCACCTGATGTGGGCATGTCAACGGAGGGCACCAGTATCAACACACATATCAAATGGATTTCTCATTTCTAATAACTTACCAAATAGATTTCTCATTTTAAAGACCATATATAGAGATTCTCATATTTCCTCTCCCCATGCCAAACCATTTTCTGCAGTCCCTGGACCCTGGAGTAGGGGAACTACGCCTTGAAGACTCCTTGTCCAGGACAGGGAGATCTCTAAGAATCGTTGTCTCTGCTGCATGCTCTGGGAAGGGCTGCCTTGGGGAAAAGTGTCCTTGGGGCTGGATTTTCATGAGTTTTGGCTTTCAGGAGAAGCCCAGAGGATCTGCAGATGGCCAAGTTCATGGTACCTGTCCTGATTATTACTTTGCTATCCTCTTGAAAGCCTGAGTACCTTGGAATTCTGGGGTGGGGGGTGGGGGTGGGGGGACTCTTTAGAGAATCTGGTGAAAGCGATGGCTTCTTGTTCCAGAACAATGCACACATAAAATTTCCATTCAATTCCAGAAGGGTACAGAATTCCCCTGAAGCTCATGATGAACCTGTTTAGAAGTGAAAAGGGCAAATTAGGTTTGGGAGACATCTGCTCTTTATCTCAAAGGTTCCTACGCTGCAGCCCCTTTCCATTTCAGATCCTGGCAACTGCACAGAGGTGAGAAAGGGTCTGCACTTTGATTTCAAGACACTCAGATTTGCATCCTAGTCCTCTGATGATTAGCTGGGTTAACTTGGGCAGTTTTTTTTATTCTGTAAAGTGGGTTTAATCATCCTCACCTTGTAATACTCTCCCCCTTGTTTGCCACCAGCTTTGTTAACCTTGTTTGTTCCTTAGGTAACCGAACTCTTTCCTGTCTCGGGGCCTTTGTGTTTGCTGCTCCCTCTGCCTGGAATGTTTTTTTATTTGAATCTTTTTGTGACCAACTCATTTGCACCATTCAAGGCTCAACTCAAATGTTACCTCCTCAGAAAGTCTTTTCCTGGTCACCCCATCTCTCTCTCTCTCTCTCTCTCTCTCTCTCTCTCTCTCTCTCTCTCTCTCTCTCTCTCTCTTCCCCTCCCTCTCAGTTAATTTAGAATTTTTTTTTTAAAAGTGTGCAATTCAGTGGTTTTTAGTATATTCACAAAGTTGAGGAAACTTCACCACTATCTAATTCTAGAACATTTTCATCACCCTAAAAAGAAACCCCTCACTTATTAGCAGTCACTTCTCATGTCCCATAAAATCCATCATCTTAACCATTTTAATTTGTACAATTTAGTGCTTTTTCATATCTAACCATCACAACTCTCATATTCCTGAACCTTTTATTACTCCAAACAGAAACTCCATATAGAACAGTCACTCCTCAGTCCTCTCTCCCTCATCTACTGGCAACCACCAATCTCTCTGTCTATAGATTTGCTTATTCTGAACATTTCACATAAATGAAATTATACAATATGTGGCTTTTTGTGTCTGGCTTCTCTCACTTGAGTATAATGTTTCCAAGTTGCATTCATGTTGTTGCAGATATCAGTACTTCATTCCTTTTTCATGGCTGAATAATATTCCACTCCATATAACCCGTTTTGCTTAGTCATTCATCACTTGATTTGGGTTGTCTCTGTTCTGTTTTTGGGCCATTGTGAATAATTCCACCAAGCACCAGTTTCTCTTGATCATGTTATACTTTTATTTATTTAATTTTTGTAGCCCGTGTATATTTATTTAACACATATGCTTGTATTCGATCCCTTGGAAAATAAGCACCAGGAGGCAGGGATCTTGCCTTTCTTGTATGCTGCTGTTTCCCCAGGGCCTTGGTTAGTGCCTGGCACAGAGTGGGCAATCAATATGTGTTGGATGAATGACTGAATGAATGAATGGAGCTATTGCTATTGTCTTGTTTCCTAGCAGACTCCATCTTTTCCTCTAATTCATGTGGAACTCTTGCTGCGTTGACCTGTGTCTCTCTCACATCTGACATTTTTCACCAGCTGCGGTTCCAGGCTGCAACCTTGGGGGAATGGTTGCCCTTGGGGGAATGGGACAATGGGAAGTGGAAGGCACCTGAAACATTGCTGGGGCCCCAGGTTCTCTGTTTTCTCCCCATCCCCGACTACTGATTAAGAGGGGCACCAGCATGGGCTGTGTGCGGATTACACTACAGCCTTCCCAGCTGCAGGAAAGCCCATGCACACAGTGTACAGGGCTGTGAATACAGATTCTCGTTCAAATCCCGGTGCTACAACTTACTGGCTGTGTGACCTTGAGCAGGTTAATTCACCTCTCTGAGCCTTGGTTTACTTACCTACAAAGAAGGAGTAATGATCCTCATAAGGTGTTTATAGGCTGCTTAGTTGAATAAAGGCATGTAACGTGATTAGCATGGTGCCTGGCTTATAGTCAGTACTCAATAAATGCTATTTGTTACTAATAGTGGGCCATTGCTGTACATGAAGTGTTGGCATCTCGTATTAGATATAAGGGGAGACTCAATCGATGGGGTGCAGATATATTACATATATTCATCACTTAGTCCTCTCAACAACGCTGTGAAGTAGCTGATACTGCCATTACACAGCTGTTGTGGGAAGCACGTGAGCCGTTCTGCATGAAGTCCTATGTACCCTCTAATTGCACTGCTCTTATCTACTTACTTGTGTCTCTCTCCCCCCACCCCCATCTCTAACCAGAATGGCGGCTCCATGCAGTGAGGGGCCTTGTCTTCTGTTCGCAAGCACAGCGCTCGGAGCACAGCAGATGCCAATTGCTGTATTTTGAATGAACAGACTTCAATTCTTTCCTCTTTCAGGGCCCTTGCAGATGTCATGAGGCCGCAGGGCCACTGCAACACCGACCACATGGAGAGAGACCTCAACATCGTGGTCCACGTGCAGCATTATGAGAACATGGATACCAGGACCCCCATAAATAATCTTCGTAAGTAGCGCTGCGTGATCCATTTCCAGTCCCACATGGGGACCAAGGCAGTGGTCACCCTTCCAGATTTCCTGGTGTGTGTCTGGGTCCATTAAGAGCTCCTCTTCATTGATTAGTTAGAAGTTTGATTTCATCTCTCCTGAATGAAACCGTGTGTGGCATCATCAGAGTTTACTTAGTTTGTTTCTCTGTGAAAGAGTGATTCACTTGGTTGAGTGCTCAGGCTTGGTTCTTCTGTTAATTAATAGACCACTTGGTGGGCTCATCCTGGTTGGGTACTTAGTTAACCAATGGATTACTTGGCTGGCTCATCTTAGGTAGTTCATCTGTTAGCCAATGACCCATTTTGCTGGTTCATCTTCTGTTAAAATCCCTGGGTAATTTGCTACGCGATGGTCCATTTGCTTTCTTGTCTGCCTCCTAAGGTAGACCAGTTGCGACTTTTAGGTTTTATACTGTTTTCAATGAACAGATACTAGTTCAGAAGAATTAGATCTATTTTTCATAAAACTGGAGTTTCATAAAAATAATCCACAAACTACTTTGTGTGTGTGTGTGTTTGCGTGTGTGCATGCTCATGTACATGTGTGTGCTGGGAGTTGTAGTTGTCTTGTGTAGGGGTGTGTATGTGTGATTCAACAGTAGCAGATTCCATTCTGTTGTTCTTTCAAGACAAGAAAAGCTGCATTTGTTATTGTGTTTTATTCTTTAGCGGATGGAGCCTACTTGGGGATCTTGGTATGCTCCTAAAGATTTTCTTCCCTCTCAAAGGTCTGTATATACAACATACATTATGGATTTGATACACTGACTAATGGGAGTGGGGAAAAATAGGATTATTTAATTTTTTGACAATAGTGTACTATCATGGTTATTCTTAGCAATTATGCTTTCAAGTAACCGCCTCCCCCCCCCCTCCCCCCCACCACACACACATTAAAGTATTGCAGAGGCTTTGGTTTAAAATAAGCGCCAGACCATTTAGAGGATGCATTTAGTTGTGGCTGGAGGTTCTTAGAAACAGAAATGGTTCTGTCATTGAAAATCTTATAGTCTGGGCTGCCTTTGCTGAAGCTCTGCTAGGAGCTGCATTGGTGTTTTATTTGTTGAATCATAATTTAGGACTGTTTGGTTACAAATTTTTATTCTTGATGTGTAGAGGAATATGTCTGTGGAATTTGACATAGGTGAGGTGAATTCTCTGGTTCTGCATGGTGATAATTTTTCCTGGCCTTGGAAATGTTACAGTACATTCACAAAACCAATGTTTACATGGTTTGAAAATGGATACCAAGTAGAATGTCTTAGGTTTCATTGTTTTAAATAATTCAACATTATTTATTCATGAATCAGGTCGTAAAATGGTATAAGAAAAGCCACATTTTAGAGCAAAATGCACCAGCAGCTGGAAGTTTTATGATCACATCTCACAGCTGTAAAAGATATGTTATATTGCACAAACTCTGACATGGCAATTGCTGTGTCCAATTCTGGGTTCGATGGAAATGAAAGCATCCCTTTTAGATGGCACAGGAAATAAGTTGAACCTACGTGTCTGTGGATCCTGAACTTCATACGTGGGTGAATGTGATTATGGCGTAGAAAGAGCTGAAATGGGGCTGAGTACCTGGCTGTAAAAGGTGACCGATAACAAGTTTCTCATAGGACATTTCAATCTTTAGGATGATTTTTGAATCAGCACTCACATGAAATAGCAAACTTACTGAAGTCATCCACATTTCATCATTCCATTAAGTGAAGGGCAGGACACATCAATGAATCTTGCTTAATAAGGGACTTTTATTTTAAAGTTGCACTGAAATAAATGATTGCTTAGAAATGTGTCTAGGCACTGAGTAATTCAAAAATTTCTTATAACAGGCTAACTTGGTTTATTTATAATTCTTGCTTTTAGTCTATATTTATGTCTCAGTAATCAGTGATCTTTTCTACTAAGAAAAAAATGTGTCTTGTAATATTCTACAGGATAGAACATAGGGCAGACTTTCCGGTATAATGTCACAAACATTGCATTCTCACAAGAATTACCACCAATGTTAATTTCATATAAATCTGCTGGGTTGATTCAATCCTTATTTCCTAGACTTCCAGGGACTATTTGGAAAATAAGATGCATATGGCTTTCCCACAGATTTACATTAACAAGTTTAATTTATATAACTAATCCAGTAGTTGGTAATAATGATAGGTTTTCTTATAATGCCTTTATCTTTTTATTGACTTGTAGAAGCTATTTACATATGATAGAAAAAGGAAACAATTTGCATGTTCAGAAGAAGGAGTGATTTTTTAGTTCATTAGGAGGATAGGAGTAGATGAGTTATATTTACCCGTTATTAGGGGTTCAAGAAGCTAACCACTAACCCAAGCTCACTTTGCATCATAGAGAGAACTAGGAGAGAACAAACTTATTCTGATAACTGGAGAGTAAGACCAGCTCTTGGTGCCAGAATTAGAATGCATTTATTGATTATAAAAGGATTTTTTTGGACATTATAGAAGCTACAGAGATTTACTATTACAAAAATGGCAAGAAAGATATGTCTGCTTGTGATACACCAAGAAGGGGACACATCATGCTACTTTCAAGGTGTTCTTCACTAAGCATCCAAGTTACCAGATTTGACTGGGAACTCAATAGTCCCAACTTAAATATTTTCATTTCTATTCAATCACTCACTCAACATTGCTGTAAGAGAGTATGTAATCATCTCCATCTATTTCTCCTCATCTTCTTAATACTAATGCCAGATCACTTTCTGGTCTTTCCCTTAAGTTTGGGCCAAGTGCTAAGAGAATCAAAAGTCAGTGTAGAAGTCTGGATATTTAGAAGGTGTGAGGAGTGGAGAAGGACTAGGGCGAAGTCAACTAGGGAAGAGAAAGCTTCAATTTGGGGACATTTTTGCCAGCCTTTTTTTTTTTTTTATAAATTTCCTATGGTTGACTTTTCTTGTGATAGACAGGACTTGCTCTTTATCTGAAGATGGATTTTTCTTCAGCCAATGCTGTTCATGTTCTTACCAGGCATTCAGTGACATTGCCTAAAAATATTTAGTCTGATAATCAAAAGGGCCTTGACCTCTTTGATGAACAGGATGTAGATTCAGATGAGATAGTGATTTTCTGCAAATGATCCTTGGCTTCTGTGTAATTATAGTTTGCTATTGAAGGCACACTCTGTCCTCAAGTGCTATGAATGGACTCTGTCTCCCCCATCCAGCCTCCCTGCCTGCCTATGACATCACCCACCCCCTTTGAGAGTGCAGAGTAAATACAGGTCCCCTCAGTCTCAAGGATGGGAGATGTGAGTGAGGGACTATGGACACAAGGATACAACCTGCATCAACGTTTCTCAACTCCTTTGTGTGAATAGCACACTTTAAACTTTATTGATTGATGATGCCAAACCGGTTGGGCTCAGTGGATAGAGCGTCGGCCTGCGGACTGAAAGGTCCCAGGTTCGATTCCGGTCAAGGGCACGTACCTCGGTTGCGGGCACATCCCCAGTAGGAGGTGTGCAGAAGGCGGCTGGTCGATGTTTCTCTCTCATCGATGTTTCTAACTCTCTATCCCTCTCCCTTCCTCTCTGTAAAAAATCAATAAAATATATTTTTTAAAAAACCAAAACTTTATTGATTGATGAGAGAGAGAGAGAGAGATAGATTTGTTATTCCACTTACGCATTCATTGGTGGATTCTTGTATGTGCCTTGACCTGAGATCGAACCTGCAACCTTGGTTTATCGGGATGATGTGCTAACCAACTGAGCTACCTGGCCAGGGCAGCACACTTATTTTTTGAAATAAAATTTTAATTTTGAAATAATTTCATATTTACAGAAAACATGTAAAGAGAGTTCACAGAGTTCCATATATTCCACAGCCTACATTACGAGGTACACCTGTGAAAATGAAGAAATCAATATGAGTACACTATTTTTAGCTGGAATGGAGATATTTGAATTCCACTCATTTCTGCACTAATGTCTTCTTGCTGTTCCAGGATCCAGTCCAGGATACTACATTATATTTAGTACAGCAAACTTGGTAGTAGAATTTTGGTTGTGCTGCATTGTTTAATGAGGTAGTAAAGACGAGAAACACTACTAAACAAGGCAGCAGCAATTACAACGCCTTTATTGCCACCGTATAAAAGAGATGTCACCCAGTGTCTATAAAAGCATCCACATAAAATCATTCACCTGGCCAGTGTTGGAATGGAACCAGTGGTGTCGTGACTGTGCGCTCACTCATATACTCAGGGGACAGGCTCCATGATCGTAGGGTTGATGTTATACTGTTTATTTTAAGCATAATCTGAGCAAGTGAGACCTCACCCCAAACTGAGGAGAAATGCGGACTTGATATTTTAGGACACAGAATCCCATCAGAAAGACCAGGCTCTGAGTTCAGCCTCACCCCACCCCTACTCTGTCGGGATCATTCCCAGGTGGATTTACAAGGACCCAGATGAAAAGCAGACACACAGTTAAGTTTCTGAAGATGTTGTACAACTTGTATCTAGGGCCAGATGAATTTTCCTTCTTTTGTCCGTATTTTTTGATTTTTGGAGAGACTGGTAGGAATATTTTCAAATATTGTTGTTTTTTTTTAAATGGGGGGAATGTCCTAATCAGGAAAGGCAAAAGGGTAAATATAGATATGAGTACATAAGAGTAAAAATTATGTAAGATAGTGTAATAATAGTGTAATATTAACTGTAATTTAGCATTCTAAACTCCCAACACATCAAATCTTCAAAACCTTATTAGGTTAGTACCATTATTTTTACCATCATAAGGATGGGAAACTGAGGCTCACAGTGGTTACATGGCTTATTCCAAGTTCATACAGATACTAAACGGTGGAGCTTGGATTTAAAGGGAGCAGGTAAGACCCCAAGATTGGTGTCTGTAAACACTGTACTTACACGACCTCTCTGTGTGGTACAGCTGTTTGCAATATGCTGAGTGAACCGAA